AATATAATACCGACTATATTATAGGGTATACATTGACTGAAATACACAATCATTTTCGTCAATCAAAAACAAGAATTATTGTATAAAACGAGAATTTATTGTTAGTTTTATTGTCTATGCAATGAATGGACAGAATAATAGCTGTATGCCTAGGAATTGTCAATTCAATAAATATCATTGTATTCACTCGCAAAATACACACAAGAATTTAAATCTAAATATTTTTTGAGTATAAGAATAAAATATGCAAAGAATTCGTGCCCTAATACTAGTTTTAAGAAATTTGTTTTAAAACACAAAACTCTTTATTGTGTTTAGGTTTAGGAAATTCTTGTATATGTAATATAATTACCGGAATTTATGTATTTAACGAGAATTTAGGGGTAGAAATGTGAGAGCTTTCAGTTTAGGCTATGTATTGCTATTTATGTGTGTATACACTATATACCAAAGACTATATTTAAGTACAAAAATTCATTTAAAACATATCAGCCTTTGAAATCTCATTTCAATTCAAAACTTATGTAGCGATTCCTACCACTAATCGATAGTCGACACACTCGAGTGCAATGATATTTTTAAAATACTATAGCCATAGAGAATATACAGTATTGAGAGAATTCTGTCGAATAGCGAATAATATAATATATTAAATGGCTTTGAGATTACTTTTGGAGACAAGCGTTTGATAGACTGGCAAAGAATTTTTATTTCAGATTTATATGGCTGAGAATTCTATGAATTATTCTTAACCGGTCCAAAGGATTTATTAATGGAAATTTTAATTTTAAATCTCTATTCGTAACTACAGAGAGAATGAGAGAGAATGTGTGTGTGTGTGTGTGTGTGTGTGTGTGTGAGAGAGAGAGAGAGTGAGACCTAAGAAATAGCAAACATTTACATAATTATTCATTGACATAAAATTCGCATATTTATAGAAATTAATTCACATATAAATTTATATTCAATAGAATGCAAATACTGTATTATAAACAAAAATCTAATCGCAAATTAATACACAAAAAAAACAAAATCACGAGAATTGAAACAAAAAAATGTATTTCTCTGTTACTGTATATGAAACGCTAATTAAAAAAGCTTATGATTAGATATAAGAGAAATAAAATAAAAGCAAAATTGGCGTAATTATAATAACACTTATAATAAAATAATGATTGTGTGGATGCATGCAAAGCGATTCGGCTTATATTAAAATCAAAGTTCAAGCGGATATTAAAATACAACTTATTTTTTTAATGGCAATGAAAAATGTTAGGAAAAATGTTGTGTACGATATTTTATATCTATTAAAACGGAATCAATACCAACAAAGTATTTTATAAGTGAAAATCAACACTAAATATCACTCAAATCATTATCAGAAAAAAGTTTACTAAACAAAAAATATATTGCATATTAATCATGTAAAAATAACTTAATAATTAACTAGAAAAAATATATAATCTATATTATAGCTATGTCTTTTGTAAACTATAACCTAATATTGATTTAATTAAAACTTTTAGTAAAAATTATAGTGATTGTGAAATTGTAATCATTAGTAGACATAAAACACCTAAAACTACAATATTTGTAGACATTAAGCGGAGTCATAAGGTACACAATAGTGATAGTGAATTATCAATACAATTGTCAATTGATTTTTATTCACACTTAAGACGTTAAGGCATTGAAATCAAGCATTTATTATAATTCGGCATCAAATCACTAATTAATTTTGTAATCAATAATCTTATTTGTACACAGAATCGCATACTAATGCTCACTAATCCTATCAAAAAAAATTACTGAATAATCATTTTTATTAAAAACCATTTGATTAGTGCATTACAGGGTCGATGGGAATACAGCTGAGCTAATGGTGCAATCAAAAAAAGGAAAGGTAAAAACAATATGCTTTCCTAATAAAAGTAAATTTCGTAATAAAAAGTAAATTTCGTAATTATAAGTGAATTTTCCAATCTCTCTCTCTCTCTCTCTCTCTCTCTAATGTAGAAAAACGATGACATAAAACAAAATAATATGAAACAAATGGTTACACCATATAAAAACGGTTGGGAAGTGTAGGGTCAGCGACTAGACTACCGGTACCCGACCTTTAATACGCTCGTCGTTAACATTTACGATGCCATCGAAAAGCAGTTCAAAAACATCTAATAATCAGATAATAACCGAAAGCGCAGCACATCTCTCGCGTCGAGAGAGAAACAAAGAGATAGTAAAAAACAATCTCATCATATGATTAGACAATATTTTTTGCCATCAAATGCCACACAACTGATGACATGTACAGTATATTATCGCTTATTAATACCAATGAAAAACACACACCAACAGCACTCGTAGTAAATAAAAAGGCATTAAAAATAATTTATTTTCTCTATTTTGTTTGTTATACGAAAAGTTTCTATTATAACAATAAATATGAAACGCAAACATAAAAATAATTGAATTTTCCCAATATCCGACTCAAATATACAAAGTATATATTAAAATATAAAAATACTTTAGATATTTACTGTAGTATAAAACTGTTTATAATATAAACTTTATATTATTTACTTATAAAGAATAAAAACATTGAGATTCATTGCAAAGTATGTTTGAGACACAAAAATAAATATTCAATTTCTCGTATAATAAATCTCTATAAACATAAACAGCACTCAATTCCAATACACATTAATAAGTATAAGAGTATAAAAACAAAAAACATATGATATATTAAATTACAAAAAAATATATAAACCTTTAAAATATACGTTAACTATCACTCGATATAATACTGTATCGCATTTGGAAATATTAAAAAATAATACAGTAATACATTTTATATCAAATATCATTATAATGGACAGTATGTAATGGACAGTATGTTCGTGGAAATACACACTGAAAACCTAACGAATGGAGACTAGAATAACGTCTAGAATCGGCTAAAATCACAGAATATTCCTCTCAAACCCCATTAACAACCAAATTATCCACTAAACCATTAAACAAAACAATAGGTGCGGCCTTACCTGCACTGCCCACTGGCCTCCAGCCGCAACTCCTCGGCCATCGACGCCATGGGAGTCATGTATTCGCTGGTCATAGTGGCGTACGAGTCGAGGGCGTGGGTGTTGTCGTCGTCATCATCGCCACCGCCACTACCCGTCAGCGTCTTATCGGACATCTGGTCGTCCGGGTAGTCGTCGAAAGCGTCGAAAAACTCGTCCACATCGGCACCGGTAGCGTCGGACATACCGCACACGGACTGCGCCCGGGGAGGCGAGTGGTAGTACGAGCCGTTGAACGAGCCGTTAGCGCCGGCAGCCGTGGCGAGTGACTGTTCCAGGTCGTGGTGCTCGCGGGCCAGCACGTGCAGGGCGTCCTCCAGCACCCGTACCTTCTCCTGTTCCTGTTTGAGCAGCATTTGGCGCACCTATACGTACACATAGAGACAGACAGAGGCGATGATTAGCCGTTTATTTTAAGCGACTATTTCTCAACACACACTATCACTACCCGTAGAACTCATTAGACTACTGGTGCTCTACTGGTGTATGTGTGTGTGCTTTTGAAATACGACTGACGTTTACTGGCAAATGAATGTCAAAACAATGTTTGAGTGACTTTTAGTTTATAGTCATTGAGAGGGAAAGGGATGGGAAGGAAAGACACTATTCATCCACTAAAAGCCTACACATCCATAAACAACTCATTTTCTATAGAAAAAAAATCTAATTAACACACAATTTATATACTGTGCGAGTAATTCATGCATAAAGGATTACTGTAGATGTGTTTTTAACACACACACACACTTAACATTGTACCGTTCAAAACATACACAAATTTAAACTAAACCTAAAAAATCTATAATAAATGTAACTGAAAACCATGTCACAACAAAAAGCATTTATGAAATCTAATCCTTAATAGTAATGCGAAACCAAATTATAAAATAAAACTGTAATTCCCGTGAGTTTTGATTTTCTAAAACTAAAAACTTAATAACAAAAAGTTATAACCTTTTCACTGATAATTAATAAAGTGTTGAAACACTTAATAAGTCTTTAAAAAAGTTATATTAAAACCAAATCCCGAAAGTCATTACACAGTAGAGCACCGGACAGAGTGGGAGTGATATACTGTACAGTATAAGCACCGGTAGAGAGGCATACATACATCGTCCTGATGGGTGAGAACGGCTAAACAGTGCGATAGAGCGCCGGTAGCATTCGATGAGGACTCGAGAATGAGATTTAAATGAAACTTAATGGACGGCAGCGTCGACTCGACGATATCGGAATAAATAGAGTTCCCGGCACTGGTATCCAGCCGATTGCCACCAATACTATCGTTGAGGGAACCGGTAGGCGTCACCCTCCCGTTCGTTTGACACGCACTCAACTGCTTCTCCGCGCTGACGATGTCCTCATTCAACTGCAACAGCGCCTTCACGTGCCGCTCCAGTATGGACTGGTGCGCGTTGGCCGTCTGTATGAGCGCCTGTATGCCACTGCTAGGCAACAGCTCCTGGAGCTCGTCCTCGTCCGAGTCGCAGTCGATACGCATCCCTTGTTTGATGAAATTCGTGCCGTAATAGATGTGATCGTTAATGGCGTTCACCCACTTCTGGCGCTCGACGGCCACCGGCGCGCTCAGCACCGCCTCACCCCCGGAGGGGATCGACAGCAACGCTCGCGACCGGTCGCTGAAGTATATGACAAACTGGGTGTCGGCCGCGCCGGGCCTACCGCTATCCAGGGGCTCGCATATGGCGCTCTCCAAGTACTTGTAGCCCTTACGCCGGGTACCGGTGCTCGCGTCGGCCCGGCGCCCGAAGAACGAGAACACCCCGCGCTCGAGCACCGCCCATATGAGCCGCCAGCCCAGGAACCGCCCTTTTTTGAGTAACGGCCCCTCGAAACGCATCACCGCTTTGGTCTTGAGGCCGGCCAACTGGGCGCTGATTGGCTGCACTTCGTGTAGCAGTTGCTTGATCTGCACGTTCGGGGCCAACGCCGCGGCCAACTGTCCCCTATTGTTCTTAATGGTGACGTCGATGCCCTGTTTGAGCAGAAACACCGCCACCTCCTTCTGACCCCTGTAGGCGGCGCAGTGGAGCGCCGTATTGCCCGACACGTCCTGACAGTTAACGTTCAGCGGGGAGTTGGTGTCGGCCAGTAGTGCGCGCATAGTGTCGACGTCGCCGTTGCGGGCGGCGCTCAGATACCGCTCCTCCCGGCGCTTCACGTCCGCCTCCTCCGCCGCTAATAGTATCCGTTTGACGGACTCCTTGCGGGCCAACTCCCTGGGCGTGAGTCCGTCGCCGTTAATGATGAGTACGTCGGCGTTGGCGGCCACGAGACGCACCACTATGTCCTCCCGGCCCGTGTAGGCGGCCTTATGGAGCGCCGTATCGCCCGATTCGTTCACTATATTCACGTCCGCGTTGTTCTACACGTGAGACACAAATAATGGGTAAGTTTTTGTTGATTAGAAATATTCAGTATGTCTTCAAAATGGGTATACATTTAGAGTAAATAACGAGTTCATTATATCGCAGTGTTTGACATATGATTTAAATACACGAATGTTTATTGTGTACAGAATCTCATGAATTAAATGATAGCTAAGTGTTGACGAGAATTGTGCAGAAAGTGCTGATTGTATTCATTCAAGGTATTCATCGATTCGTTAGGAATCAATAAATTGCAAATTAAAACAAACCTTTAAATATTTCTCAGAAATTCTATGCAATACTTTATTTATTAACCACTTTATGCTAATTGAGAAAATACAGTATTGTATATTCAAATGCAGTGTTGTATGATTTTATGCATTAAAAAATCATTAAAATAATTAATAAATTCTATTGATTAGTGTACTGTAATATATATATATTTTTATTTACAGTATAATGTATTTAAAAATAGAGGTAAACATAATTCTTAGAATAATTTGTTAAATCTACCTTAAACTCAATATAAAAAATCAATAAAATTGTTCATTATATCGGGAGTTCAATATACTGTACTGGTATATCACTTAAAAACATATGTTATCTAAACATATCAATCATTAAATAATGGGTTTAAACGTAATATTAATATTGACTTTCAATTAATATATTTTAATAATCCATTATTAAATACACATCTAAATCAGTTGATTAATAAAATCAATAAAATTCATAAATACTTCTGATTACGAGTTCTTTATGGAATTAAAAACAAAATAAAACTTTGTTTTTCCACTAAAAAGGGGAATAAAAATCAATACTTCAATAAAAACTGATAAACAAAAATAGACTCGAAGTTAGCGTAAAATGATATCAAAACTAAAACAAACCAAACATTCATCACAACAAACATCAATCAAACAAACGATTAATTGTTAACAAAAAACCATTCATTCAATCATACGATAAGACCAAACACTCAATGAAAAAATGAACTCAAAAATAGTGACACAAATGGATTGATAATAGAAATGAGTTGTCATTACTTGAAGCAGTTCTTCGACGACATGGAAGTGTCCGAAATATGCGGCCAAATGTAATGGACTCCACCCGTAGTTACTCTTCTGTTTGCCTAACCATTAGAAACACATTATCAGTACGTTATTCATCAACAGAATCAGTGGTTAGTGACAAGAATACGACCAACAAGTGGTGACAATCAATGAATATTCATGGATTGATCACTACTTCTAACCAATTCATAGATAGCTTAGTAATCAACTCAAGTGATAGCGATTGGTGCAACCACCTAATCATTACCACGCGACTGATTCTATAGATTATTTCTCAACAGTCAGAGTTTTATAGACAAGAATAAGGCTTAAGAAGTAGTCCATCACTTCCCGCTCATTCTTACTATAGATATCAACACAAGTGGTAAGTGTTACGAGTCATGGACACCACAATCATCACCACTGGAACCGATGCCTACCTTTGCAGTTGAGATCCAATTCGATCTCATTCTTCGTGGCCAATAGGATCAGCTTCTCGACCACTTTGAGATTCCCGGTGCGCGAGTGGTATAACAGAAACTCTTCGGGCGTATCGAAGTCGAAGCCGTCGATGGTCTCCGACTGCAAGTTGTTGTTGTCTTTCGCCATCTCCTCGTCGATGTCGCTGTCCGTCACCTCCAGAATCGACTTCTGGGAGACATTGTCTTTGGCGGCGGCGGTAATGGCTTCCGCTTTGATGGTCGGCGTCGTCGTCATCGACGGTGTGATCGACGACTTCGCAGGCGATGTCTTCGGCGGTGTTGTCGTCGGCGGTGTCGTTGAAGACATGACTCGCGACCAGCGATAGTCCGATGACCAGAACAGTCTCGATGTGTGGTTAGCGACAGCTGTCTGTCCACTGATATGTCGAGTGGTGTCACTGAATGTCTGTATGACCTCCGAGGAGGTGATTATGTCCGCGACTACTGTCCGATGAGTGTATTCTTCGGCGGTAAACAAATCAAGACTTTTACGAGCAGTGATTAGTGCGGCAAACGTATGGACACACAAAACACGTGTGAATTAAAGGCAATGATCGCTCATTTGAATGAATGTATAGTTTATGACAGCATTTGACAATTAAATAGACTTTTTGTGTCCAAAATAAATACAAAACTTCAAAATCAATGCATTATTACAACGACGAGTGAAACACATTTGAATCACATATCGATTGCATGTTTTGTTGACATAGTTTTCACTCGCATTCACGGGTCGGACACACCGTTTGGCTGTCCACTCAAAGCACGTGCTTTTGATTTAGTGTTTAATTGAACGCATGATTAAGTGTTTCATAAAAGTGTTAATCAGTAGTAATGTTATTGTGTTTCACTGTTTACATCGTAAACGCACACTAAATATGACATTATTTTTGAGTCGAAGTAAAAAAGTTTTTTCAAAAAACTCTATGAAAACTCCTATTGGAAACAGTCATATATAACGTGTCGAGTAGTGTGGGTGTAAACACTGCCCCCCTATTGAGTAAATGTATGTAAATAGGCGGTTTATTTTTCGTTGGGTGACAGGTACCAGGGTTGGTTTAGTAACAGTGTTTGTGTACGTGTATAGACATATGATGAGCACCGCCCCCTGCTCACCACTTGACCTTGGTTATGTAATTTTCCAACACAATAATGATTGTCTCATAAATGTGTTGATGGTATGCATTGAATGCTATGAAATGTGTCCACAGTATTGTATTAACTATTGTACCCTTTTTTGTAATGCAGATTTGCGCTATTCATAAATAACATTAACTATTATATGTAGACAAAAATATACATCCCTATGCCAGTAAATGTAACCAGATGTTTTACCAAGAAACATTTGTTATTCATAATAAACTAATTAGTAAGCAAATGTGTACCAATGATTCATAAGTGCGTGGTGAACAGTTTAGCAAAATAATCATGGACATTTCACTATATGACTCAAACTTAGGTAAATGTATAATTTGTGTTAACCCCTCATAACGGGTACCGGTATACATTAACAGTCCTCCCATACAAACACATTGCATACGCTTTTCATCACATTTTGTAAACAAATAGTCAATTGTTTACTGATTTCTCTGCACTTTAAACACAATTAAGTGTTTTATTACGTCAACTAAACACACATTTACAGCACATTTAGACGGAAATGAATACTAGTCTGCGAGCCGTACACCGATTGAAACACATTTGCGTTAATTTGTGAGTATTTTATCAGTTTTAGTGAGTTTTAGTTACCAGTGATTGAGTTAACTATGGATTTAGTGCACAATTAATGTAATGATAAAAAGTTTTTAAAACTAATTTTCTGTATAAACAGGTCATCCGTGCGCTGCATGTCTGGCGGATTGGGAAGTGGGTCCGGAAAGGTACCAATGATTGCCTATTATTCGTAGGCTACCGGCGCTCTCAGTGGATGTCATTGCTAACTCTAAATGAGTTTAATTTTTACTGATAATTAGTATTACAATTAATATATTTGTGACCAGTGTTCACTATTTTGTAGCGTACAGTATGCAAATATATAGACAAATACATTACATTTAGTAGTAGAGTTCATTCAATGGACTTCATAGGCTTAGTATTACTGACCAAGGTGACAAGTTATTGTCTATATATCACAAATACAGTGTTAGATTAAATGGATTTAAAAACTATATTTTATTGATTACACGCAGACATACACTATACGCGAGTAGACCGACAAATGTCATAATATAGCCGTACATCTGAAATATGACTGAATTAGCCTAGCTTACATTGATAAGTGACACTAACCACTGTTCACTACATACAAAAACACTAATTAATTGGCGCCTAAATATACTAAATATAGTTTTTTGGCGCAAATTATTAATTAAAAACTGTTTTGTGTTTGCGTTGGCTGTACGGCACGGGTAGGGCGGAGGGTCGGGCGGTTCGATTCGCGACGCCGGCGGTGCGTTCGGTAAGCAGGAGGCGGCCCGAGAGGAGGAGTACTTCCGTCGCCAACAGAAGGAGGCGTTGGAGAAAATGAAGAGCGGTTTGGACACCGAGAAGGAAAGGCTGGAGAAACTCATCAAAGACCACGAAAAAGAGATCCAGAAGTTGCAGAAACTACAGAAAGACAAGTAGTGGGCCTTTAAGGGGGTCGCCCCCAATGGGGGTGTCTATAGTGTAGGCCACGTTTCATATGAAATACATAACAATTGTAATTTGAATTGAGATTTAATTAGTTTTTTGTTTGTTGATTGATATTCAATATATTGGTTAATGAAATGAGTTTATACTCTGTTTTAGATGTAGTTTTGAATTCAATAATGAATTTGCGTTTTTTTCTGTTTTGAATTAATATTATAAATAAATTTGGGATTAAAATTAGTAATTAATAAATTGATTTTATTTGCCGATAAAAATGCAGTTTTGTTGAAGTGTTTATTAATTTTTTTAAACAATTTCTACAGTATATTAAAATTAATACCGTATAACCAATGTATGCTAAATTAACCTGTGCGAATTATATATCATGGTATTTATCCAGTTGATTACCTGGTAGGTTAATCCCGGGTAAGATTAATTGCACGATCTATTTGTCAATGTTAAATAAGTCTCTCGATAGGGGCACCGGTATGTGCGGATAGAACCGGTAGCACAGGTTTTATTTATTACTGTAAATTGCAATAAAATTTTGATATGATATGATAATGAGGTACTCGACAAACTCCATTTACACGCACAGTCCATAGTGACTGACCTCGACACTTGTCTCAAATTGAATTTACAATTTGAGTCACAAATACAGCTATAGACAGGCATAACTAGGACAGGTTTTTGCTAGATTACTTCAAAACCGCAAATTCTATCTTGGTTCTGACTTCAGGATCTTATTCTCAGATAAATTATGCGTAATTTGGTATATA